GTGTGTGTGTGTGTGTGTGTGTGTGTGTGTGTGTGTGTGTGTGTGTGTGTGTGGGACAGAGTGGCAGCTTTGTGTCTGTTGAGGTTGCAGTCGGAGCAGTGATGAATCTTAAACAGGCCTGTAGTAGCTGCTGTGTGTCACACACTGTGTTGTTGTTGTTTATCAATAAACTATTGTTTTCTCTCTCTCTGCAGTTCAGGACCTCCCACTGGCCGTCGTCCCGCCCCGCCCCACCCGCCTGTCCTCTCCGGCTGCCACAGTACTTGTAGGAACATCTGAGTGGTTTTGAAGATCCGAGTGGACCCGGGCCGTGACCTGATGAGACCAGCAGGCTGACAGCAGCTTCACTGTGATCTTCACCGTCCTGCAGCTCAAACACAACCAGAGTTTCACCTGAACATGTAGACTGAAGACTGCTCACAGTCTGCAGCTCAAACACTTTGCTCTCCTGAAGGGAAACTAATCAAACGAAGATGTAGCTGCACCGTGACCGGGACCAGCGCSTTCAGCAGCTAACGGCTCATCAGCGGCTCCAGGTGAGCAGGTAGCGGTGGCTGGTGGTTGAGTGTGGGTGGAGCGGGGGTGCGATGGAGTACCACTCCGGTGGCAGCCTGCCCCTGCTGGGGAGACCACGGTACTGCCCTGGAGCTAACGCTAACGGTGGCTATCTGTGCGAGACGGGACACTGCTGCGGAGAGACGGGCTGCTGCACGTACTACTATGAGCTGTGGTGTAAGTTTTTCWCTGATTTAACTATAAATATACTTTGAAACATCATAGTTTATGTAAAAACATCTGTCTCCATTTTGTTATGATGTATAGTCACAGTTTTGACATAGTGGACCATTGTAGACCCAGGTTAGTTGAACCTGTTTATCTCATATACTCATAGGTAGTGGTGATTATTAAATTTAATTCTACACTTTGTTAATTATTAAACAGGAATTATGTGAGAAACTTAACTAAACGAAGAGCACAGATAGTAAATGATAATAGATCCACTTGTTGACTGTTAATAATAGATAACCTGATTTTGATTTAATTGGATAATAAACAGAAATAATCTTTTATAAAACCTAAAGTGTTTCTTTTACAACTGAAATAAGATAAAATAAAGGAGTAAATAAAACCATATAGTTGTTACGTGATGTATAGTATTTTGTGCGGACTACAGATGTTGTAGATTAAGGTGTTTTGTTCCAGTTTACATGAAATCAGAGCATTTCTGTATTAATGGCGTGTGTTTAGGGTTTTGGCTGCTGTGGACTGTCCTCATCCTGTTCAGTTGCTGCTGTGCGTACCGACACCGCCGAGCCAAACTCCGGGTCCAGCAGCAGCAGAGACAGAGAGAGATCAGCCTGCTGGCCTACCACGGAGCCAACTCCTTCCCCTCGTCCATGCTGGACCTGAGTAAGACCCGGTTCTGCTCTGCTTTACAGGACATTACTGTTCCAGCAGCGGCCAGGAGTCAGAAACTTTACAGAGAGGATTTCTGCAGAAATAATGTTAAAACATAACCATTTGATTTTTACGTTAGCCTACAAATTATTTTACACACAAAAAGCATAGTCTAAATAATGTATCCTTTATTCACTGCTTGTGATAAGATAAGATAAGATAAGATAAGATAAGATAAGATAAGATAAGATAAGATAAGATAAGATAAGATAAGATAAGATAAGATAAGATAAGATAAGATAAGATAAGATAAGATAAGATAAGATAAGATAGAACTTTATTGATCCCACAGTGGGGAAATTTGAACATTACAGCAGCTCAGACAGTGGAGTTGCTGTAACAGGCTGCCTACCGTGGCGCCAACTTAGAAACAAAGAAAAAACTGAAAAAATCACACAAGGGAAGATGGGGGGGAAAGCAAAAACATCATATTATATCAACACTGTGACACACTATGTTAATGAAAAACCCTTTGCGTAGAGCAAGTTTATTAGCCAGAGGAGTAAGTGAGTTTAGTAGGGGCCCAAAGAATCCAGTCCCCAAAACCAGCGCAGCCATAGTTCAGAATATTGGTGGTAAGTGTTCATTCTGTGCAGCTTTCAGCCTGCTCTGGAAAATCAGATTAGACGGGCGAGAGGAGGGGGGGAAGGTGGGGGGCAGAGTCTTTGTCGACACATCCATCCAGGAAGAATTCAGTCAACAGAACCAAGGCCATTGTCGGGGAGATCCAGATTCTGTAATCAGTTGTTTTGGGAACAGAAGAAACAGGTAGACGACAACAATTTTCCATCTGCTTTAGAGTTCTGCTGGTGCATCTCAAGATGGCGATCCCAATCAGACAAATAGTGTGGACAAATTCTGCCAAGCCTGAATCTATCAGATTCCTCCAAGATCAATTCCATCTTGCCAGCAAAGTCCAGGAACCACAGCCGGCCCGTGACCCTCAGTAGAACTGCTTGCAGACCGAGTCCAGCTTGCTCAAGGCTAAATGTCCGAGTTCTGACAGTATATGGCCATCCATCAAATTGGTCAGTCAGCCAGAAAATGAAAAACCACCGACGCTGATTTGTAGACCACCAGGAGACCGCCAAGCCAATCTGTAGAATCCAATGATCGGTATATAGATCCAAAACAGAGAAGAACAGAGGTCCCACCTTTGACATGTCCTCCCATGGAAGAAAAAAAACTTTGTTCCAAAAATTTTAATGAGAGACCAGCTAACCAAATCCATAAGAATAAAAAAATCCATGATTTCTTATTTCGGATGAAAAATGTAGAGAAGGCTCCAAGCCGCAAAGCAGGGAAGATAAGGAAGGGCAGGAGAGAAGGAAGAAGCGTCTCACTCCTCCGAGAGTGGAAACAAAAAACAAAAAAAAAAACTTGAACAGTAGTTGTTGTGACTTTCTGAGGGTTGAAGTTTCCTCTGTTCTACAGTCTGTCTGCTCTTCATCCTTTCTTTAGGTTTCCTGGCGTCGCTGAAGCTCCCGTCCTACGAGGAGGTGGCAGCTCAACCCTCCACCCCTCCTCCTCCCTACAGTTCTGTGTTTACCACCCCTCGTTACCCACAGCCCCCGCGTGCCGCTGATCCACATCTGCTCACACAACACGGCCCGCTGCTCCACCAACCTCTGAGTGATGGGCCCTCCTCCCTCAGCTCCGACAACAGGTAGGCTCCTCCCACTTCTGCAGGAGTTCAGCACAACAAATCTCAATGTGAAGCGATTCTAGTTGTTGTTACTCAGCATCAAAGGAAGCAGTTTCATTAAAATATTACAACTTCTTTTGAAACGTTGTCTTTAGGACGAACTCTTCTGCAAACCAAACTGTATTTCTTTCTGCAGCTCCAGTTGCTCCTGCGACTCCTGCTGCCCCTCTTCTCCATGTAGCTCCTCCCTGTCAGCGCCTATCACCTACGAGACTGACACAAGCCACGCCTCTACGCCCAGTGAAGCCACACCCCTCACACATGATGTCACCATGGAAACTATAGCCGCTGCCGCAAGTTGCTTGGGGTCAAACGAGACACGGCTTCCCTCAGAGAGAACGATCGCCACGGTGGCCATTGAAATGGAAGATGGCGAAGCCGCCAGAGCTCAGGAACCAAACGCCAAGGAGTCATCACTTCCTCGCCAGACTGTTACCACGGCAGTTGTTACCAGGGCGGCCTCACCTGGCRTGGAGCTCACTCTTCCTGTTGCAACATCTCCCATAAACCTACAGGTCGACACCGCATCGCAGTCTCCAATCATCAGCGCCGGTAGCTCCAGCACACTCCCAAGTCCRAGTCCTAATGCCACGCAGCTCCCATCCATCAGAGTCGTGAGAACTGGAAGTGTGTCAGGACCTCCTACACCAACAGCCAGCTCGGCTGAAAGTTGTACGACCACCCAAACCCCTGAAACTCTCAGCTTAACAAGAACTTTGAATCCAGTCAGTGTTCCTTGTAGCCCAGCATCAGCACCTCCTCCTGAAGTTCACAGAACTTTGGCCTTCGAGACAACCTCTGACATCCTCCTGAGCCAAGATCAGAGTCTTAGCTTGGTTGTGACACCCACAACACTTAGCCAGACTTCATTACCTACAAACCTAACCCRAGAACCACCGCTCTTTGATCATACTCAAGCTACAGATCCTGCTCTGTCAAAGCTTAGCCCACTTTCAAACCCTCAAACCATCTTGGACCCAAATTCCATTAGAAACTCCATTCCAACTCTAAAACCTACATATTTAAACCTTAACCAAGATACAGATGCAGCACCGGTGTCACCCTCATTGGTGCAACGCCAAAACCTGGAACAGTCACCTGGTTCAGGTTTGATCCAAACACTTCAAAGTCCTGGGTCAGGTTTGGTCCAGATTTCTCAAAGTCCTGGGTCAGGTTTGGTCCAAACATCTCAAAGTCCTGGGTCAGGTTTGGTCCAAACATCTCAAAGTCCTGGGTCAGGTTTGGTCCAAACATCTCAAAGTCCTGGGTCAGGCTTGATCCAGACACCTGGGTCAGGTTTGGTCCAAACATCTCAAAGTCCTGGGTCAGGTTTGGTCCAGACACCTGGGTCAGGTTTGGTCCAGACACCTGGGTCAGGTTTGGTCCAACACTCTGTTGTATCTTATTTAGAGTTGACTTCATCAGCCGGTGGTTCAGAATCTGTTCTGGTCCCAGATAAAGTATCTGAGTCAAACCTTAGTCCAGCATTGCCTTCGGTTGTCCAGGCTGGTTTTAGCCCTGGTTCTGGATCACCATCAAGATCAAATCCTCTGTCCAGCCTAACTCCAGTCCTTACCTGTCCAACACCTGAGGCCACGTCCTCCTCCTGCCCAGCCATCACTATCGAGCCTGAAACGTCTCGTTCACCTCTTGCCGTTCTGTCTCCGTCCTCCCCTCGGTCCCCTCGGTCCCCTCTGTCTCTCGCAGCACCAGCTCTACTCTTGGACCCCCTCACTGCTTTGCAGCCGTCCGACAAAGGTGGCTCTTCCTCTGGCCACGCGTCCTCCCTCTCCCCCTCTCCCCGCGCTACTCAGTCCCCACCGAAACAGACCGTCTTCTCCCCGTGCGTGGACATTTTCGAACCCGGACCTCCCAGCTGGGAGGATGGAGAAGAGGAGCGGGACGACAAGGACAACGACGAAGACGAGGACGACGACATGGGAGCCGACGAGAGCCAGTACAGACATCGACGACTCACCGGGGACTCTGGGATTGAGGTGTGCAGGTGCAGAGTGGAGGACGAGGATGACGACGAAGAGGAGGAGAAGGAGGACGGCAACTCTGGAGTGCATGATAGTGTGGATTGTCCTGCAAGAGGTCAGATGAGCACAGGGGACGAACTTTCACTGTGTACACCCACCGCCGCTGTCACCTCGCCAATGTCTGATGACAGCAGCAAAGTCGTCATTGTCATGGAGAAAGTTTAACAGATTAAGATCCTGACGCAGTTCTGAACTGATGCTTGAGATATCTCATAACTGCAGTGCTTGAGGAGTTAGATGGCTGATTGTCACTGTTAAATTATTAGAGTTAGAGCGAAGGTTCAGATGGAAACATTAGCTCAATATGACTATTTTTTCTAAAGAAAAGTGGAATTTTCGTAGCCAAGTCTGTATACAGATGTGATGAGTTAGATCGAACTGCAGCATGACAGAGTTGTTGATGGAAAAAAACCTTCATGACCCAACACATGTTCACCTTTTATGAACAAAATTCAAACAGGAATCTTAATTTGTCCTTTAATAAAGTTGCTGTAAGCTTTAGTGAACGAATCTACAGAAAGAAACCAATATGGGATAAATCTTGTGCCAACAGGAATTGAATCTGAATTGCTCAGATTGAATCTGAATGTTCATAATTTGAAATTGAATGCATTGGTTTGAAACTGAATTTAAAGTTTTGTATCTGAATTAATTTACTTTGAAACTGTATTTTGGTTTATTAAAAATTCAGTTTGACTACTTTCACTTTCAGTTCCATAATTCAGATGTTTGTGTCACATCCTGGTCCTTGAGAAAGCCAGGCAGAGTAATCAAACACAGATCCACAGATTTATGTTTCACTTTGGGGAAGTTTCCCTTCTGGATGTAACAGAGTTGATGCAATCCACCGTAAAGTGGAAATGTAACAAACGTAAATGCAACATTTTCTACATATAGGTCAAATTAATCACTGCAATAAAATAACTTTGTGTGTTTTTGTCACTTTTACAGTGGATTGCATCAACTCTGTTACATCCAGAAGGGAAACTTCCCCAAAGTGAAACATAAATCTGTGGATACAAGCATTATCCCAGATAAATTCTGTTCTGTTGGACTGGTCTGGTTCTGTTAAAC